GTAAGGGGTGTGTGGTTATTGTAAGGGGTGTGTGTTTATTGTAAGGGGTGTGTGTTGTAATTGTGTGTGGTTATTGTAAGGGGTGGGTGTGTGTGTTATTGTAAGGGTGTGTGGTTATTGTAAGGGGTGTGTGTTTATTGTAAGGGCGTGTGTGGTGTGTGGTTATTGTAAGGGTGTGTGGTTATTGTAAGGTGTGTGGTTGTGGGGTGTGGTTATTGTAAAAGGGGTGTGTGTTGTAAGGGTGTGTGGTTATTGTAGGGTGTGTGGTTATTGTATGTGTGGTGTGTGGGTGTGTGTGTTATGTGTAGGGTGTGTGGTTATTGTGTGTGGTTATTGTAAGTGGGGTGTGGTTAGTAAGGGTGTGTGGTTATTGTATGTGGTTAAGGGGTGTGTGGTTATTGTATGTGGAGGGGTGTGTGTGGTTGTAAGGGGTGTGTGGTTATTGTAAGGCCGTGGTTATTGTAAGGGTGTGGTTATTGTGTGTGGGGGGTGTGGTTATTGTAAGGGGTGTGGTTATTGTAAGGGTGTGGTTATTGTAAGGGGGTGTGGTTATTGTAAAGGGGTGTGGTTATTGTAAGGGGTGTGGTTATTGTAAAGGGGGTGTGGTTAAAGTAAAGTATAAGGGGTGTGGTTATTGTAGGGGTGTGGTTATTGTAAGGGGTGTGTGGTTATTGTAAGGGGGGTGTTGTGTAGTAAAGGGGTGTGGTTATTGTAAAGGGTGTGTGGTTGTAAGGGGGTGTGGTTATTGTAAAGGGGGTGTGGTTATTGTATTGTAAAGGGGGTGTGGTTATTGTAAGGGGTGTGTGGTTATTGTAAAGGGGGTGTGGTTATTGTAAGGGGGTGTGGTTATTGTAGTGACCAACCCACTTATGCCATTATACAGTGAAAAATATAGTGAGTTAAATAGTGAATTATTGACATTTATAGTGACTGAAGATTGTGACAAATGTGGTGAAGAAATTAACATGATATGGTGATAATAGTGATACAGTGACTTACAATATAGTGATGATGGTGAAATTTAGTGATGGTGTCGCTGAGATGTGATGGTGAATTTTGATAGTGAAAAGAAAATGACATCGACGAGGTGATAATGACTATGGTGATAATGATGATGAAGGGTGATAGTGCAACGGAAACATCGAGGAATCAACTCTTATGGTGATAGTGAGTGTATAGTGATGATGATGGTGATACAAGCAAGACCCTGAATGAATCGTCGTCGTCTTCTTGATGATGATGATGATGATGATTGATAGTGTAGACCCGTATGGTGATGATGGTGAAGGTTAAGACATGTGGTGATAATGGTGATGATTGTGACCTGATGATGGTGATAGTGAAGCATCATGAGACGGAGGTTATTGGTGCAGTGGTGGTGATGGTCGAAGGTGATGGTGGTTGTGGTTGTTATTGTTGTTGTTATTGTTGTGAGTGATGGTGCGGTGTTGCTTTTGTTGTTATTGTTGTTGCTGCTGTTGTTGGCGGCTGCGTGGGGCCTACTGCTTCGCCCCCCACACCCCCACTCCTCCTCAGGCTGTGGAAGGTGGGGTGACGACGGCCCCTTCCCGACGACACCCCCGACCAGGTACTGTACTGTGTGTTTGAACTAGTTAACGCCTCCCCTCCCTCTCTCCCTCCCTCTCCATCTCCCTCTCCATTCCCTCTCCTCCCCAACCTAATCTTCATCTGTCTCAATTTATATTTCACGAGGAAGACAATTTGTGAGTTATAAATGGCAGTACTGGGGGTTATAATAAAGTTATTTGTGATAATAATTCTGTGTGAGCGTAGGAATACAGAGTTCTTAACCAATAATAATACTCGGTTCATATAAGCTTGGCAATCTGAGCCTATAGGAGATTTATCAAGGCATCTGATTGGCTGGCGGAAGAAGACGCGTTGGGTTAATCTAAAATCTCTTCATTATTTACTTAACTTTCTTTATATTCTACAGTTTAAGGTAATATTAACAATCATGTGTTAATCTACAATAATATGCCAAGTTAGGGAATTTTAATTTAACACGAGGAATGCATTAATGACGTAGATATCATTAAGTGAAGAATGATCGCAAACTCCCGCGCATTTTCACCCAACGTTACTCGACCAATCAGGAGTCGCCTTTCATTTGGACCAATTACAAGCTTGAAGGAAACAGAGTATAGTGATACCTCTATTTAACGGACTATATAGAGGAAAAAGTACGTTATAATGAGGTATTCGTTAGATATAAAACTCCCATCTAATTGAACTATATAGAGATATAAGCCAGTAATATCGAGGGTCCGTTAGATCTAAAACCTCCATCTAATTATATAGAGATGAAAGTCTGTTATATTGAGGTTTATGTACTGTACTAAGAGAAAATCGTAATATATCAATAATAATAATAACGATAATAATAGTAATATAATAATAATAAAAGTGAGAAGAAATTTGAAGAGTAATTTACCTTCGACTGGTGACCTATGAGAGAGACTGTATAATATATAGGGATTAATGATTGGGTGTCCTCTCGTGTGTCTGACCTGCTGTTGGCCCCCTCACCTAGCAGCAGCAGGAGTAGGTAGTAGGTGAGGTAGTGTGGTAGTGTGGTAGCAGGTAGTGTGGTAGTGTGGTAGCAGGTAGTGTGGTAACAGGTGTGGGATGGTAGCAGTAAACAACATAGGTCGTGTTCCTCGTTACATTCTGATGCGAATTGTTTGTTTTTTGCTTATATGTAAAAAAAAGGCTGTTTTTTTTTTTTTTTTACTATTTCGAGTTTTTTAAATGTTAAGAATGTAAATATTTCACACATATATGGGAGTAAATGGTATACCTTTTAATGGGGTGTTGGCCAGTACAGGTGACTGGCCGGGTGTCGTGTATTGGGCCTCCTTGTTTGGTTGGTCTACAGTATTAACAAGTATGTGTTTACCAGTGTGATTCTACATGTGTTCACTCATTCTTACATACATACATCCCTACCTACCATGTACTGTGTATACACTTACATACACTCGAAGTAGAGGTTGACAGTCATCTACCAACAGCATGATGATAAGAATTATTAATGGTATCGTCTTCTTTGGTGAGCTCTGAGGTGGCTCGAGACGCCGATACGGGACCGGCAGGGTCGTCCACAGATGCACAGATGTTGCACGTGTGGAGGGCTACATCTAGCGCGGGAGGGGAGACGGCAGCATCACCAGCTTGTCTGCCTCTTTATGCAGTTGGGCTAACTCGAAAGTATCGACACCTTCTCTTGTGGTGCTCCTCCAAGCGTTACGGTGTGGAGTAATCGTCTCCCAGTTGAAGGGGTCGATTTGGCACTTTTTAAGGTTTGTCTTAAGACTATCCTTATACCTCTTCAGTTGCGTGCCGGCGTTACGTTTACTATTCGTTAGGTGACTGTAAAGTAGCCGCTTTGGCAGTCTACTGTCGTCCATGATGGTAACATGGCCAGTCCAACGGAGTTGTTCATGGATAATGGTAGCCTCGATGCTCCTACAGTTGGTGTTAGCGAGAATACTGGCATTTGTTCTCTTGTCTTCCCAGCGAACTCGGAGGATGGAACACACACACACACATCTGACTAAAGACTTAAGATGTGTTTCCCCTCACGTAGACACGCGCCACGTTACATAAGAGAGGTGCAGTGGTGGCTAGTGTGTGTGGTAGTGGTGGTGGTCATGTGAAAACCTCACCACTAGACTACTGCCACACCTCGCCATCATCACACTGCCACCATCACATAGACTACATCACCACCCGAAGAAAAAAAATTATATTGCAGCTCTTGTAGGTAAAACGACATCAGTCAGATCAGGGAAAGAGGTCAGTAGGTCACTCAGCGTCGGTGAGAGAGAGAGAGAGAGAGAGAGAGTCACAATTATTAAAACTATCTCATATTTTCTGTTTTTTTCCCACCGTTGTTGACATTAATCAATCTCTCTATGAAGGTTTAATGTGAACAATGCGATAACCGAATTACTTCAATCAACTCCTAAAGTATTTGTTTCTGATAAGTTTGGCTTCTCTAAGATAACAGGCTATCGTTGTGTGTGTGTGGAGGTATGTTATCTTAGTCGTGTGGTCATCTGATGTTATCTTAGGCTTTAAATGATCAGTAGTTTAAATTTTCTGAAGGTATGTCGTGTTATCTTGTTATCTGAGTGGGTCATTGATGAGGCTACACACACACACTTGACTTGATCAATCTCAGGTGATAACTGACTGGGTGAGGATGGGGACGTGAAGCTATAAACGTCTTAACGTAAACAAAAGAATGTCGACTCTTATCATCTATAATATAAGTGTTTCGATCCTAACATAAGACAATAAGTAGTACAGGTCACTATAAGTACAATGGATTTATAAGTACAAGAAAGTTGATTATAAGTACTAATAAATAAACAAATGACTATCAACCCAATAAATAAATGACTATCAGCACAATAAACAAATGACTATCAACATAAACAACTATTGAAAGCAACTTTTACATTGAACAAAGTAAACAAGTGATTATTCATGTTGATAACTACAGTAATAGTAACAAAAGTACGGTACATAATAGTGCGGTACAGTAATGAGGATGGTTTTTCTTATTGCCCATTTCAGAGTACTAAATAAATATGCTATTAAGTGTGTTTGTGGTACATAATACTGTATATACTTGTCACCCCAACTGTGTATACTCCTCCCTGGGCATAATAATCTCCCACTGTGCCTACTACCTCCACATAATAATCTCCCCATTGTGCCTCCCCACTACCCCGGGCATAATAATCTCCCCACTGTGCCCTCCCCTACCCCGGGCATGTACTCCCCACTGTGCCCTCCCACTACCTCCAGGCATAATAATCTCCCCCACTGTGCCTTCCCCACTACCTCCCGGGCATAATAATCTCCCCATTGTGCCCTCCCCACTACCCCCGGGCATAATAATCTCCCCACTGTGCCCTCCCCACTACCTCCTCCTCAGATGAGAACTGACCATTAGTGTTGTGTTACAGGTGGCAGGTGGACGAGTCGTCTGACTGGCCTCCTACACTCCCTCCACGCCCACGCCACGCCCGTGCCCGCCCAAGCTGAGGGGTCACCTGGGGACAAGTCGTGTGTAAGATACGTGGGGGGTGAGGGGTCCCCCGTGGTGAGGTACGTGGGGGGTGAGGGGTACTCGTGTGGTCGTGGCTCCCCATCACCACCTCACATCACCACCATCTCCGCCGCCCTCACTATCCATCCTCACTCCACCTCTTCTTCCTCCTCCTCGCCTATATGCGCCCACACTCCGCCCAGCGCCCCGCCCGTCACGCCCACGGGCTCCTCCACGCCGCCCACGCCAGACAGTGATAGTCATTTAACCCTCTCGTGTAGCCAGTGTTCCAGCCCTCTGACCGCCTCACCCCTCCACGCCCACCACCACCACCATCACCCAGCCTTGCCTCATGCACGCCCAGACTCACACGTATTTGAGGTACGGGAGCCGTGCACGTGTGAGGAACGACTGTTATTGTCCGATGCTCCCCCACACCGCCACCCACCTCACACCCAGCTCCACCTCCTCCCCACTGGCGCTGATAAGTCGTCCAGCACCCTTGATAACATAACTGCAGGTGATAACACGGCGGCAGTCTACCACACCACGATTTCAGGTGCGAGTTACGACAGTGGCGGTGAAGGTGAGGAGAGCGGCGCGACCCACCACAGTGACGCACCAGGGGACGCTCTACCCGACACCAGAGCTACGAGTAAACACCCCAGAGGTTATCACACTCTGGGGAAAAAACTCAAGAAGATATTATTTAAATGGTCAGAACCCCCGGGGGACGAAGCGACCAAAGGGCGGTCTTTTATCCCGACTGACACACACTTGGACGGAAGCACGCCTGAGGTGGACGACAGTACTGTAGCGGAAACAGATAGTGGCGATAGTGAGGGAGAGAGAGAGCCAGACCAGAGAGAGAGAGAGGAAGTGAGAGCAGGGGAGACACCAGCAGGTGACGAGGCACACACTGCCCTCACCATACAACACCACCCCTTGCCTCTCCTCGCCTCCCTCACTCTACAGCCTCGCACTGGCGAGGACGACGACACTGACTCCTCCGTCACCAGTCAACCTCACGCTGCATCCCTACCCCAACGTGACTCTCCCCTACACGCTCCTCACGCACCCGGTCAACCGTCTCGGCCACGTGATGAAGACACTGAACACTGGGTAGAGAGCAGCGGTGTGCCGAGTGAGGGCGAGGAGAACGGTGAGAGAGAACACAGGAGTGGAGGCGGTCGGCGGGAGAGTATAGGAAGCGTAGTGAGTGAGGGTGGAGGTGTGAGAGGTGTCCAGCGTGTGGTGTCCTCCACCTTATCACAGTGGAGGCGTCTCCAGGGTAGTGTAGGCTGCCTCACCACTGCCATTAAGCAGCGCTACCATCACCGCCTCCTCAGACGCGAGGTCTCAACGCCCATAACAGGGCAGAAGGAACCGACTGCAGGACGGGAGGAAACAGTAGGAAGGCAGGAGTACCCGTGGGCGGCCTCCCCGCCCACCCGCAGAACACAGAGATCAGTGACAGACAAACCAACATGCGCTGATCTGGATCTGGAAGATAACTACCCAGACGATGAACTTGTGGACGGAGAAACTTCACCAGATGTGTCTCAGATTAAGTCCTTCGACGACCTGGGTGGTAGTAGTGAGCTCATAACTAGTGGGGACCTCGGCGTGAGTGGCAGTGACGTGACGAGCATCACGTCAGGCGAGGCCCGGGAGGGTTTATCGGTGTGCACGTCGCCAGTGGGAGTGTCGTCGCCCAGCACCTCGTCAGGAACTACCTCATCAGATGACACGGGGGACACTAGCACAGGCACCGTCATATTCAAGTCTCTGGCTGCTGACACACTGGATGATGATGATGGTGACGCCCTGCCAGACGAGGCTGTGGTGATGGACAGGGGTGACAACCTGCTGCAGGAAGGTGTTACTCCACACCAAGACCTTGATGAAGAGGAACTGGACGAGGGTGATCTAACTCCCCACATCTCCTACACCGACATCACAGCCTCACTAAACGAGGTTGACGCCATGAGTGAAGTGGTGCTCACTGACCTCGCTAATGATACTCAAGAATCAAGAAGGATGCCCAGACGCAGTAACGACGGCGTCAGTTGTGAGGGAGAGCCGGTGGCCAAGCGTCCTTCTCTGGCTGGCTTGGACGATGGTCACCAACACACCTACTCCCCGCACCCCACGCCTTCCTCTCCGCACCCCACGCCTTCCTCCCCGCTACCACATCCGCCCCCTGTCGCCAGCCCACGCTTAGCTCTCTCCCTCACTCGCAAGCAGTTCTGCGAAGGTATGATGGGCGGAGATGACGACGCCTCTCTGTTGGGTGAAACGGAGAGTGAAGGAGACAGTGGTAGTGAGGGCACCGAGATGAAGGAACTGTTGCTCCCAGGTGCTAGTGACGGAGGTAGTGAAGACGTTAAGCAGAGTGATGAAGTGTATGTCTCCACCACCACAGAAGATTGGCACCTGGAAGAAGTATCTGTTGGCCAGCAGGAAGGTCGTCCCGCACCTCTTCCCGATGAGATGTCAGATTACTCCGAGAACGATCAAGAAACAGGTGGTGATAAAAGTGTAACAAGAGAGAGAGAGATGGCAGAGAGACTGGCTGGTGGAGTCATCGAGAGGATCACGGGAGATGGAAGAGGTAAGGGGAGTGACCAGGTGGTGCCCGGGGGTCAAGAGGAACCACCCGTGACCCCGGGGATAACTGACGGTGTTGGTCAAGGTGAGAGAGAAGTGACGCAGGTGATAAGTGATGACCACAAACAACAACAGCCATATGTGACCCCGGTGATTAGTGTTGACCTTGTTTTAAGTGAACAAGAGGCAGGAGTGACCTCTGTAAGTGGTGATCAAAGACAACAGGAACCACAGTTAACCCGTGATGACCTTGACCACACCCAGCAGACACCAAGTGCGATCCCAGCAATTAGTGTTGACCTTGTCCAGAGTCTGCCACACCCAGATATGACCTCAGATGTTAGTGATGACTTTGATAACGGTCAACAAAAACCAAATATCATTCCAGAAATTAGTATTGACCTTGTTCAAAGTGAGCCAGATGTGACCCCGGTAGAAAGTGATGACCTCGTTCAGGGCCAACAAAAGCCCAGTGGGACCCCGGTAGTGACTGGTGACCTCAGTCAGAGCCAACAAAAGCCCAGTGGGACCCCGGTAGTGACTGGTGACCTCAGTCAGAGCCAACAAGAGCCCAGTGTGACCCCGGTAGTGACTGGTGACCTCAGTCAGAGCCAAAAAAAGCCCAGTGTGATCCCGGTAGTGACTGGTGACCTCAGTCAGAGCCAACAAGAGCCCAGTGACACCCCGGTAGTGACTGGTGACCTCAGTCAGAGCCAACAAGAGCCCAGTGTGACCCCGGTAGTGACTGGTGACCTCAGTCAGAGCCAAAAAAAGCCCAGTGACACCCCGGTAGTGACTGGTGACCTCAGTCAGGGCCAACAAGAGCCCAGTGACACCCCGGTAGTGACTGGTGACCTCAGTCAGAGCCAACAAGAACAAAGTGTGATGCCAGTAATTAGTGAGAGTGTCACTGAGGGTGAACAAGGCTCAGGTGTGGTGGGTGACAGAGGCCAAGTTCCGGTGGTGGAGAGTGACGACGATGACGATGATGACGAGAGTGTGGCGGTGGGTCATCGTGACGAGGAAGATGATGATGATGATGATGAAGGAGTGAGTGTGACCCAGGATGATGGTGACGTCACTATGGATATGGGCGGTGAAGACGAGGTGTTGGTGGGCATGGACGGTGGTGCCGGCCCGAGGATCCTGGTCACCGAGGCTGTGGGCGTGAGCTCCGGCACCACGCCCACCATAGTGGTCGAGAGTGGTAGTGCGGCGTCAGGAATGGGCGGCTCCCTAGAGGGGGCAGCATTCTCCACCCAAGGCACCTTCACCCCAGCCTCCACCCTCGCCGCCCACCTGGCTGCCCATCCCCGCCCACCTACACCCAAATCGCCCATTACCGTGGATGAGTGGGTGGCCGCCCTCCCCCAGACCATTAGGTAAGTACATCAGCGTACACTTTGTTTCTCGTGTTCTTGTACAGTGATCAGAAGCCCAGGTGTACAGTACAGTATCCACAGGTGTCAATGCAGGTAATTTAACTTCACCTGGACTCACATTAAGCAACACCTGACCCCAAAACACACACCCAAACTATAGAATGTTTAGTAAGAATGTTAGTACTGTAATCAATGTTTACTTAGAATGTTTTAACACTACACAACTCATTTGGATATCTATCTGGACTCATTTGCATACAGACCTTTTAAATGTTGATCCATCTTTTGTATTCAAGATTATTAAACAGATGAATTGATGGCTTGTGTAGTCTATTGCCCCGGGGGTGTAGTATATTGCCCCGGGGGTGTAGTCTATTACCCCGGGGGTATAGTATATTGCCCCGGGGGTGTAGTATATTGCCCCGGGGGTGTAGTCTATTGCCCCGGGGGTGTAGTCTATTGCCCCGGGGGTGTAGTCTATTGCCCCGGGGGTGTAGTATATTGCCCCGGGGGTGTAGTCTATTGCCCCGGGGGTGTAGTCTATTGCCCCGGGGGTGTAGTCTATTGCCCCGGGGGTGTAGTCTATTGCCCCGGGGGTGTAGTATATTGCCCTGGGGGGTAGTCTGGTGTAGGGGGTGTAGTATTGCCTCTGGGGTGTAGTCTGTTGCCCCTGGGGGTAAATTATTGCCCCGGGGTGTGTAGTATGGGCTGCCCTGGGGGTGTAGTATATTGCCCCTGGGTGTAGCTCTGGCTGTCTCTAGATGTAGCTCATCCCAGGATGTGGCCTATTGTCCAGGATGTAGTCTACGTCCCAGATGTAGTCTATTGCCCCAGGATGTAGTCTATTGTCTTCAGATGTAGTTCATTGGTTCTAGGATGTAGTCTATTGCTCTAGGATGTAGTCTATTGCTCTAGGATGTAGTCTACGTCTCGGGGGTGTGGTCTATTGCTCTAGGATGCAGTCTATTGCTCTAGATGTGTATATTGCCCCGGGGGTGTAGCCTGCCTAGAATGTAGTCTATTGCCATGGAGGTGTAGTCTATTGCCCCTGGGTGTGTAGTCTATTGCCCTAGGATGTAGTCTATTGCCCTAGGATGCAGTCTATTGTCCTAGGATGTAGTCTATTGCCCTAGGATGTAGTATATTGCTCTAGGATGTAGTATATTGCCCCGGGGGTGTAGTATATTGCCCCGGGGGTGTAGTATATTGCCCCGGGGGTGTAGTATATTGCCCCGGGGGTGTAGTCTATTGCCCTAGGATGTAGTCTATTGTCCTAGGATGTAGTCTATTGCCCTAGGATGTAGTATATTGCCCTAGAATGTAGTCTATTGCCATGGAGGTGTAGTCTATTGCCCCTGGGTGTGTAGTCTATTGCCCTAGGATGTAGTCTATTGCCCTAGGATGTAGTCTATTGCCCTAGGATGTAGTATATTGCCCTAGAATGTAGTCTATTGCTCTAGGATGTAGTATATTGCCCTAGAATGTAGTGTATTGCCATGGAGGTGTAGTCTATTGCCCTAGGATGTAGTCTATTGCCCTAGGATGTAGTCTATTGCCCTAGGATGTAGTCTATTGCCTTAAAATGTAGTCTGTTGCCTCGGGGGTGTATTCTATTGCCCCTGGTGTGTAGTCTATTGCTCCGGGGGTGTAGTCTATTGCCCCGGGAGTGTAGTCTATTGCCCCTGGTGTGTAGTCTATTGCCCCGGGGGTGTAGTCTATTGCCTCGGGGGTGTAGTGTGTTGCCCCGGGTGTGTAGTCTATTGCCCCTGGGGTCTATTGCCCTGGGGGTGCAGTCTATTGCCCCGGGTGTGTAGTCTATTGCCCCTGGGGTCTATTGCCCTGTTTTTTTACTGTCACCAGGTAGTCTATACAAGTTGTGAAGGATCGTAAGTTTATGCACGGTCGAGGTGAAATTTTACCATCCATATATGCTAAATCTGCGCTCTTATACCTACGCTGTACCTAATTACTGCACCTTACAATGTGCCAATCTATCCAGGGTGTTTCAGTTGGGTTAGGTCACATATTAATAACCTATAGAAATAAAGGTATCTATATGTGGGCGTATTGTTCCATTCGAGGCAACTCCTGTTTACACCCAGCCTTTATCTGTCGTATATCTGTCCAAGCTATATTTAAAAACTTACCAGCCAGTTCGTGTTGATGGTGGTGTTTGGTAGCTTATTTCCCGATCAAAGTTTTTATCTAATTCCATCCTGAATCTAAATAAATTAAATAAAAATAAAATGCTACGTGTTCGCTCCTGATTTGATAGTTTGTCTTTATTTATACCACCTTTATTTAATCCCACCTTCCATTTACACTCGCCTCACACACCACGTCTCTCAAGAAAATATAAATTCATGTTTTTAATGCCTTTATACGGAAGGTCCATATTGCCAGGGATTAATATGTTATAATTACATTCAAGAGCAACTTTATTCAGTCCGCTGACCAAATTTGAACCGAATAATCCTACTGTACTAAACATACTATCATCATCTTTAAATATTTCACATAATCTCATTTCTCTCTATCTACATTGTTCACTAGATAACCGAATCCCATTTCCTGGACTTGGATTTTTTTTAATATATGTATTAAATTGCTGGTGATTTTTTATGTCCACAGTAAAATTTCGTGTAGGACTTCCCTGTTTTTTTTTATTATATGATTTAATTATTTTTTATTGTTAATCTTTTTGTCGTATTTATTTTGAATTATATTTTTATTTTTTGAGTAATGGTTAAACGTTGATTCTTGTTAATCCTAATTTTCACACTCACACTACACCCTTACACCACCACTACACCCTCACACACCCACTACACCCTCACACACCTACTACACCCTCACATACCCACTACACCCTCACATACCCACTACACCCTCACACATCCACTACACCCCACACCCACTACACCCCTCACACACCTCACTACACCTCACACACCTCACTACACCTCACACACCTCACTACACCCACTACCCTCACACTCCCACTACACCCCACCACACCCTCGCACACCCCACCACACCTTTCACACACCCCCACCACACCCACCACACCCTCACACACCCACCACACCCCACACACCCACCACACCCTCACACACCCACCACACCCCTCACACACCCACCACACCCTCACACACCCACCACACCTCACATACCCCACCACACCCCACACACCCACTACACCACACCACCACTACACCTCACACACCACCACACCCACCACACCCCCACACACCCACTACACCCCACACACCCACTCACACACTCACACACCACCACCACACCCTCACACACCCAGCCACACCCCACACACACCCACTACACCCCACACACACACCACACCCCCACACACACACTACACCCCACACCACCACTCACCCCACACACCCACCACACCCCACACACCCACACACCCTCACACCACCACCACACCCCACACACCCACCACACCCCACACCACCACCACACCTCACACACCCACACCCTCACACACCCACTACACCCTCACACACCAACTACACCACCACCACTACACCTCACACACCCACTACACCCTCACATACCTCACTACACTCACACCACCACTACACCCCACACACCCACTACACCCTCAGCGACCACCACTCACACCCCACACACCACCACACCCCTCACACCACCACTACACCTTCACACACCACACCACACCCCACACCACCACCACACCCCTCACACACCCACTACACCTCACACACCCACTCACACCCCCACACAATCTACTCACACCCTCACCACCACTACACCACACCACCACCACACACCACCACTACACCCTCACACCACCACTACACCCTCACACCACCACTACACCCTCACACCACCACTACACCCTCACACACACACTACACCCTCACACCACTACTACACCCTCACAACACCAATACACCCTGTTACACCCACACTACATTTTCAATTTCATGGTTCCGGCCAAATTTGTGTAAACTATATCGACCGGTAAAATGTTTAAAGAATTAATTAGTCTCATAATTACTCAATTTGTACACACCAATTTCCAGCTTATCGTATGTTAAATGATTTTGTAATTAAACACAGTACGTGCTCATCGTGTGAACTCCCACATTCCTGTAGTACAAATTGAAGAAAATGCCTGCTTAACCAATGGATGTTTTCAATTAAGTGACTCTCAGGGAAAAAACCTTTACATATCTGTGTATTTTTTTTAAGTTTAACTCGAGACATAATCCATAGTTTGAGATTATTACTTTACCATTAAACACCAGATTTTATACAGTTTATGGTGAAATGATGGATGAAGGATCAGTTGAATGTGATTAGTACAGTATTATATAAAGGAGGTTGATCATCACAGTGGGAGTACAGTATGTGGTCTACTGAGCCTAATGGATTGAAGGATAATTGTCAACTCAATTCTCTCCTCTAGGGCTTTAAGAAGTTAGGAGTGAAATTCCTTACTTATTGAATTAAAAAGAACTCTTAGGGGGCCATCTTAATACTGTGCTGTTACGAGAGTTTTGGATGTGGTGGTTTAGAACAATACAGTAGTCTATATTGTTAATTCGGATAATCACAGTTGCATAAGTCAAGTTCATGATGGGTAGTTCAGAGAGGAATAGTAGACCTTCCTATGGGGTAGTTTAGTTTAGTTCATCTTTAGAATGATTTGACCTCGTCTCTTTTATAGGTTTATTAATACTTGTCGTTTTATTTCCGGTTTGGTTTTATTTTCATTATTTTAATTTGTTTAACCTTTTACTATTAATTATCTCAGGTGCCATATGACCTTGGCTGTTGTGGCACTAAGATAATGTTCATAATCATTCATTCATTATGATGAATTGAGCTTCTTCCTCTCAGTGACACTCCCAGGAAACATTAGGTGAACATTTATTATTGCCAGTTCTGGTTGTGGAGCTGAGCTTTTCTCTTTTAAGAGTGGTGGGGTCAAGGCTTGACCTGCCCATGAATGTTAAATACACATACAGTACAGGGTATTCTATGTGACACCAACTGCTCTGTGTTCTCCAATGTACAGTACAGTATCTTACTTTAAAAAGTAAATACTGTGTACTCCATACAGTACTGTAGTACCTGTTATGTTAGTTTTTGAGATTAGCATTTTGGTAGGTTATGCATCACTAAGCAGTTTACAGTAGCCAAGGTCCATTTTATTCACTATATTTACCCTTTTAATGGATCAGAAATATATATTCAAATGTTTCGTCAACTTTGGGATGGAAAAATTGTGATACAAGTACTGTATGATCAAACCTGTGATGTAGACACTGTAACTTGAAAAGGGAAGGTTACAGTACAGTACAGTACAGACATATTAGTAGTGCTTTAAAACTTCATTCTTGTTTCCTAATAAGAAATTGAAAGGATTAAAAGTATCGTAATTAAGCGGAACTCGTAAATCAGGATGAAGACAGAAGATAGAAAGGAAAAAGTGAAGAATTCAAGGCAGAGTAACTTATGAGAAGACTGTAGACAGTTAGGAATGCGGTCCTGTACTGTATGTGTGTTGGGAAAGTTTGTGTAATATGCAAAAACTTAGCCGTACATGTTTTAGGAATATTTTTATGAAATGCCAAAAAAACTGCAAATACATAATTATAGTATGAACGTTACTGATAGTGTGAGATTAAAAAATAGCTGGGGATTATGTGTGACAAATGTTTATATACTGTATAGTGCAGAAAGTTAGGTAATGCAAGACTTAGGAATGTCTTTGAATAGTGCAGAAAATTAAGGAACAAGTGTGTACAGTATAAAGGAATATAAAGAAAGTTCGCGTAGAATGTAGTCTTCAGGAATCCATGAGTTAGGTTAGGTTATGAAAAGTACAAAAAGTGGGAAGATTCGTGTGAGAATAAGGTTATGCTTGTATAATGTGGAAAAGTGAAGGAATACATATGTGAGGTTGGTATATGCAGTACAGTATTGAAAGTCAACTACTGTATTACTGTAAGCATATGAATAGTCTCATGTACAGGTGACCCCCAAGTTAGGACCGGTGAATAATCGTATAGGTTACATTTTTGGAGAACAGAAAATTCGACTTTATTTCCCCTGCCTACTTAACGACAAGCACAATGGAATAAAAGCTGATAGCCATTACTGTATAAGGCAATACAATTCTCCTACTCATAATACATTAAACACATTAATTGAAAAATATATGATTGGGTAAGAAAACATTTCACATTTACAAACCAACACAAAATGTCACCGCAGTCAGTTATTGATTTGTAAACACTGGGCAGTCGCAGCGAGTCTCACAGTCATTGTTCTTAAAACAATCACTTGTAAGTGTAATTGTGGAACGCCGAGCACTCAGGGAATATTCCATTCTTAAACTGGCATAAAAGAGAGCAATTTGAATGTGGACAAGGAATAGTAACAGTTTGGGGCCCAGAGTTGGCTTGGCAGGCGAAGACAGGTGACCGTAGGGGTGATCATTAAACCAAGAATAACCGAGTGTAACTCAGGTGTGGGGTATAAGTACGACTACATCGTTAAAACGAATATCCGTAACATGAGACATTATAACTTGGGGGTAACCTGTACAGCACCGGTAATATGAGAGAGAATCAGCAGTGTTTACCTGATGGTTTTGAAGTGACAATATACCATGTTACACATAAAAGGTTATACTGAGGCCATCTTATTCAGTGGAAGGGTTTTCCCTGTAACAATCACTGTACAGTATTTACCTAATTGAAAATAGTACAAGTATTTTTCTTTTATTTGTGTATTATTATAAAACCTCTCATGTCTACTGTTGGCTTGGCACTCATTATAAATTAAATATGCATTAATATTACTTTTTATTAATTGTATTTTTTATACAAAAGTAGGTACAGTATAGGCAGAATGGGATATTGTCTATATATACATTAACACGATAAAGGTCAACACCCAATACAGTTTAACACTTGCCACCCTAGAGCAACAACACAGTGGTGTTCACTTATTCCAGACAATGAAATTTGAAACTTAGTCCAAAACCTTTCCATATTTATATTTGCCTCTCATCAACTTAGGCACCGGGACTACACCAGGACAAGGCACTTGCCCGGGCACCTCACAGATACATTGTCGGTCACATCCCCATCCAAAGTTTGCCGGGTTGTCGCGACTCTGGCGTTCTCTCTCTTCCTCCGCTAGTTTGGTGTCGGATTTACAAAACACTTTCCTAAAATGATCGTGGATGTCGGACCTAGATTTAGAGTCGACATCCATCAGGACGTCTCCCCCGTCATCTAAGAATACTCGTATAAATGGTGACGGTGTTATGTTCTTGAACGTGGCAACCTAGAGGAGGAAAAAGAGAAATTACATAAGAATTAAGATTGGTTTTCAATTTTTGTAAGATGTAAAAGAAAAAATTATGAAAATGTAGGTTTTAAGGATGTTATAGTTCTAAAAATTAAATGGCTAAAGTTTTTTTTCAGCTACAACACTGTACTATTGCTGTGTCTTGATAAAATCACACGGGAAAAGGGAAACAACGGAGCACCTTAGCTTTCGTCTTTATTCAAGACATCTTCAGAGGCAACTGAATTACATGGACAGAGAGAGGCTTAAATATACAGGGTGACCTTATTAAACATGAGGTCAGGTCATAATGATGTCATCCACTAATCCCCACACCAACACACACGTAGAGGAGCTTAAGAGAAGGGGGTGACGTGACTAGTGGATCTACATGAAATATTACTGTACAGTATGTGTAATTATACAGTACTGTTGTTAAAATTAAGATAATATACACAATTTACCATATACAGTACTGTACCTGTCCTACAGTACAGTACATAATATGCTGAAAGTAGCAACAGAATAAAGATTTTTATTTTTATATTTTTTATATTTGATGTATTGTACATTTGTACTTTACCTGTATTTGTGGGTTTTTATACTGTAGCTGTGAGAGGTGCCAGAACACAAACTCTTGCGCCCCCTTGTGGTGGTCCCCGATGGTGTTGTAGTTCACGGTCACCACCTGCAACACCACCCATTGTTAATACTCTACTGTACTGTACTGGTCTCCTGCACACAAAAGACTTTTTATTTTTTTGGCCTTTCTGCCTTACTTTGAACAATGTATCTTTTCAGAGCTGCAGTTATATAAAAATAACACAGGCTTGTAATACTCAAACTTTATTGTTCTGCACAATGTCATTATATGTCATTGATTAACTATAAATAAAGAATCATATCTAATTAGTGATTCTGAACTTTAAAGCTGCAGTGCCAGTGAGGACATGTACCAGTGCAGCAGCGGTACTTGTGGGCTGTATTTTACAGTGCAGTACTACCAAAATTTTTTATCAATTAGCAAAATTGAAGATCATTTTTAAAGTTACAAAATGTTAAGGAAGAATTTAGAAGGTTGCTATGATTATACTGTAGTTGGAGTACAGTAAAGCAATTTATTATAGAATTAATGGGTTGAGGTGAGGTATGGGACCAGAGACTTGAAAACTAAACCAAAAATGCCTTTACAATGTTTAAATGTTTATTTCAGTTAACATTGGTAACAGCTGAACATTGAGGCTCCACTGTAATACATACAGGTGCATACAGTATATTACCGTCTTCTTTTAACCTTTATACCGCATCATAGGTGATTGTAGTCTTAAAAAACAGCAATTCATATTGGTAATGCAGAGAGGAACACAAGACATTCTTTCCCTCCTGACCAACTTAAAAGCTAAAGATCAATACATGATCCGCCAGGCCACCCAGGAGTCAGCTCATAGTTGCTACAGATTAGATTTAATTTAAATATTACCAATTAACTGAGCACAGTATTATTACTAATGATCACAAAGTTTAGGATAATTATGTTTTACTAAGAAATTATAAACAAAATAAGCAATGGCAAAAAAAAAATTGACAGACCAGCAATTCCAAAACTACAGATTGGAAACCACTGTTGGACTATTACCCTGTGAAGCAGAGGGAAAGTGCAGGGTTAAAAACAAATGCTGTACATATATATATAGTACAAAGCCTAAAAAACTATATTAGTGAAAAATTGCTCAAAGGCAGAACATACCATACAGAAAACTCAGATCAAATAACAATGACCCCAAATAGATAAATAACTATTTAAATAATATTATTGGACAAAGGAAGGCTATAGGTAGGAGAATAATGCGTGAAGTTTACCTCAGAGATTAGTATAAGGTATTGGCCAGTAGGGTTAAGACCGAGATAAGAAAAGCAAAGAGGAATAATGAACTGAAGGTAGCAAGGGAGGCAAAGACAAACCCCAAGGGATTCTATCAAATGTATCAAACTAAAACACAGACCAAGATTGGACCAATACAGTCAGATACCGTCGAGCTAACTGATAACGACGGATAAATGAGCAATAATCTGAACATATATTTTTCAACAGTTTTCACCACCTAAAATTTAAACATGATACCCAAGGCACCGACTATATAGAGATAGTGAAGAAACTAGATTTAGTGAGATAGTAGTGACTGGTAACGATGTTAGTAAACAAATAGACAAGCTAAAGCCTAATAAGTCACCAGGTCCCGATGAGATATTTGCCAGATTATATTAAAGGAATATAAGGAAGGAAATTTGTTTAACATGTCATTAAAAACGGGCGCAGTGCCAGAATCCTGGTATTCATTCATTCAGACTCTTCGTATTTCAGTGAACCAAGAGAGACATAAAACAAATCTCAAACTCATTCCTGAACCTCTAGTCAGCAACTTGTTTGAAGTGTGCAAGATGGGCCGAGTAGTAATGTGTGGGCCCAGTTGGTTATTTTAGGTGGGCCGAGTTGGAGGTACACGGCTACAGTTTCCTCCATTCTTATGTACACAACCTCTTCCAAATACTGTATATTAGCCACATCATTGTTACACAAGGTTGGTTCATTATCATATTATGTAGCAGTTGCTGTAGCCTAAATAGTCATAAGGTACAGTTGCCTTGGCAGTGTCGGAGTGCAGATCTTCCGGCCAGAGATTAATGCTCAGGAAAGGAAAAATGATGTTGCAAGAAATATTTTCATTATCCATTTTATGGCATTCTCACGAGGCAAGGAGGAGAAATGCCCTTCTGTTGCTGGTTCAAGTGCACAATAGGTGTAACAAAGGCTAATATGGAGGACTTCACAGCCTCCCCCCCCCCCCCATCTCGGTAATAGCAGTAAGTTCACCCACAGCAAGTGTTATGTTCGGTTAAGGATGGTTAGGTTAACTTTAACGATTTAAATAAACACTTTTTAACACATTTGCCATAACTACGATTTTTGTCCACTATGAATCGGTGAAATTACAGCATTTTATTTATTTTAATTTTTTGATATGAAAAATCAATGGCTGTTTGGTCGTAGATAATTACTCTATCCAATTACTATAATTTTCTTGGTGTAGGATATAAGTTGTCTTCTAAAAATATTTGTCAAATGTAATTTATACGTGGGTAAGGTCTTCATGTATTACCTGACACAATTTTGTTATTGTTATAAGGCTAATACAAATCATAGATCACACAAGGGAAGCTCAATATTACAGAAAGGATTGGTGGATCAATTGCTGAAGATGGTTAGGTGTGAGGCGAGGCCGGGGTGCAGTACCTTGACTCTCTCCCTCAGCACCAGACGGGAGGACTGTAGGTACTGTAGTGTCCTCCTGATGGGCGCCTTGCCCTTCATGAACGGCATCTTGTCACGTTTATTGGATAATTAATTGAGTTAGTGGGTTGTGGCAGCAGGTCTCTCTTGTTCCTCCAACATGTACCACGAGTGTAAACAAACTGATCAGCTGGTGACAAGTGCGCAGGTTCAGCCGGAGTCGGGGGCGTTCAGGCGGCCGGAGTCGGGGGCGTTCAGGCGGCCGGAGTCGGGGGCGTTCAGGTGGCCGGAGTCGGGGGCGTTCAGGTAGACGACTTGATGCTCCCGGTCCCGGCCTGGCCAGTTTGAATTCGGTTACGGAGAGTCACAGTCGTTGTGTTGGTTCAGTAGGGGGAAGGTTACATAGCGTGACGAAGGAGCTGTTCTTCTTTAATGTGGTGGTGGTTCAGTGGGGATGATTACCTGCAGCATCAGACCAAAATGGCGTATGTCTGAAAGCCGCCATTTTGAGAGCATTACCTGGAAGGAAAACGTTCAATAAGTTTAAAGAGAACAGCGTGACACTTCGCTCTTAACATTCCATTAATTATAGATATATTTTTATTACTTCAGTTTCTTGTTCACAAAAATATACCAAATATAAGCTGTATTAATGGATGGATAAAAGTGGTAATACAGTATATCTGTTAATTACAATAATTTATTAATGATCGATAAAGTTTTTAAAGTGAACACCTCGACCTGAACGCAACTTCATAATTAATCTCCCCAAGCAGCGAACTTTTCCTGAGTGGGACAAATGTAATAAAGACAACGTTCAAAGTGTGTCAGACTTCGCTTAAGTAAAAAGTTATATTTGGTCAATTTTTCCTCGGTGTTATATTATAAACTAACCAGGAGGGAGGGGAGGGAGGGGTAATAAACTAGCTATATAAAGCCAACAACTGTATCCTGCCTCCCGTCTCTGAGTGAGTGTTTTAAGTGAAAACAAACTTTAAAAAAAAAGTTTGAACAATTGGTACTTATTTCTTAATGTTATATAATTATTCTACCAACTTTCACTTCCTCAAAATCATCCGGGACAGATGGCTGAGGTGGTGGTTGGAATACAACATATCCTTTAAGTCAATGGTAATCAATTAAGAGCTCTTTTATCATTACAATATATATCTTTTACTCGTTGTCAGATACTATACTCTTTATTATATATAGAATTGGTTGTAAATGTGAAATACGAATGATTTTGTTTTAAGTCTTGGATAATTTTGTAATCTACTGCATATTACTTGGGTTACATTAGGTACAGTTAACGGTACAGATACGTTACAATATGCTCAGTGAACCCCCCTTTAACTTAGAAATTGTTGCAGTATCTTGGTCAGGGTTCTGTACTGGTTCCCTGGGCCTGTTGTAATAATACATAAGCAGAGGTATGTACTGGACCGTGGCTCTGACTGGCTCATTGGATTACGGTTTGTGATAGAAACAACTGGTTTCAGCTTCAATATGCATAGAAATATTCCTTAAAATATGATATATCCAATAATATAATTCTATTATTTACAAAAAGGTCAATATTCTATGAAATTTGTTTTGGGAAAAAGTTGTTCCCACACTTCACTGTATGGTTGACACAAATGATTAATTAAGATAAATATTAAGTAATTATGAGTACAGTATATGAATAAAGCATTAAAAGTAATTGGGTCATTTTATTATTTTTATAAATAAAATGTACAGTACAGTACAGTATGCCCAAATGATGTTCTCGCCGTCTTTCCAGATATCCAATCAGAGGACGTGTGTGTGTGTGTGTGTGTGTGTGCGTGTGTGTGTGTGTGTGTGTTGCCGGTGGTTGCCTGTGGTTTATGTAAATGACAACACGGGGGATCCAGTTTAGGTCAGGACATAATCTCATAGCTTCCAGCAATGATTATTCCTCGCAAGTGAAGATGTGAGAATGTACCTAACGTTTTGAATTTAAGTAAAAATAAAAAAATATATATATACGAGTTAGATAATTTTAGAAAAACCTGTGAGTTATGTCTGTTGTCAAACGTATCCAGTTATATTTGTTAATATTTGTAGGTTTTTTTGGGCACTGAACTCTATTATAGCGTTGTACACTTAACAAAACAGTGACCTAATCAGTCATATCTGTGTTAAGTTCCGTCGGGTTCCAGGGTTTAGATTTGGCCTCAGGAGAACTTATCGTTTGAAGAATATTTTTTCCTCGTCTTATATCACTGCTCGTCCTTCCTGTAATTTATCACTTATATTCTTCTTTGGTTTCATAATGTATTAATTGATTTTTCCTGTAAATTGTAATAGTAATTCAAAATAATATTGTTAGTTTGTTTTCCATAGATGCTAGGAAAATATCGTTCAGGCGTACTTTTAATTTTTTTTTATAAATCAGTATAAAATTACATTTATAGAGGCCAAAACACGTCTTCCTATCACCGTCTAATTTTATCATACAATCAGGTCCGTCTTCGTGGGTCTGTGTCGATTTCTTATCATAATAGGGACCCAGTTAACACGTGGCATCAGAGCAGCGGCAAACAACTCGGTTTTGATAGCAAGAACCAACACGCCAATTACTTTTTCCGATTATTAAATTTTCTTATCTATCAAAATGCCAATATTACCCGTATCTTGGTACACCATCACTTGACTTTTATATTTCAGTTCAAAATATACGCACGCAACTGAGTCATAATACAGTAAGTGAAATTTCAGTAAAATATTTAAAACAGCTGTGATTTTTAATGTATTGAACATGAGACAAGAGCACAATACTAAAATCCTCCAGCTTGTATTTTTATTTTATTTAATTTTTTATTTTTGCATGTCAGTACTTTTGGGCGCGCAATATAAGGGGATTATTATCTGTATGTTACGCCGATTGTACCTCTGTTAAACACGCCTTTGACTCACACTAAAACCAAACCAAACCAAACCAAGCCAAGCCAAGCCAAGCCACATCTAGCCAAACCAAGCCACATCTAGCCAAACCAAACGAAAACCATACCAAACCCTAACCAAACGTAATAAAACTTCACAACGTTCTAAACCAAACCAAACTACATCTAACCTAATCAAATGAAATAAACCCGAACCAAAACCTAACTAAACTAACCAAAATCTAACCAAACCAACCAAACCCAAACCCTAACCAAACCAAAACCAAACCAAAACCAAACCGAATTTAACTTTCTATCAAATCTAATTACTATTTCGTCTCTCCTTGACAGTGTGGAAGAGGACGGCGAGACATGGGGCCCCGTGGAGGTGATCGGCGGCGACGAGGATATGCTCTATTTGGGCGCCGAGGGTTAGTTAGCTTGCCAGTACACTAAACTACTTATCAATTTGTAGAGGAAGCTGTAGTAAAAGCTGGGATGTAATTTTAGAGTTTTTTTTTATATTTAATTTTAGAGTTTTTAAGTTAATATTAGAAGTTTGAAGGTGTTATTGGAGGTTTTTTTTTTTAGTTATTTGGGAAGTTGATATTTTTAGAGTTTCTGGGGCAATTTTTTTGGGGTTTTTATTGTATTTTTAGATTTAGAATTAGAGTTAGAGCTGTAGACAGGGTTTTAGGATACTCTTTAAAGCTTGGAGGGAAATTTAGAGGTTTGCGAATCAGATTTAGTTTTTTATTTTAGTGCCAAGTTTAGTTTTAGAGTTACCTTTGTAAAATTAGAGACAAATTTAGAGTTTGATTTGAGATTCAGAATGTTTTTAGTGTCGGGTTTTGAGTTTTGGAAGGATTCAGATTTTAGAGTCAGATAGATTTAGAATTTTAGAGCTGAAATTCAGACATTTTAGTCAGATTTTTAATTTCAGAGAAAAACTTGTGCAACGAAAATATATAACCAATTTTTTTCTTATTGTTATTGTTTGATATCACTTTTTTCTCCCTTATCACCATTTAATTAATTTTTTATGTAAGTTGCATCTGTCATAATTCATATGTGACATGTATTGAAAATCATTTAATACATTTTCTATTGAGTATTTCCAGAATAACAAAATAAAAAAATAAAAAAAATCGTGCCTCGGAGCTCATAGTTAGCGTGAAATTAGCTTTGAAATAATGTCAATAAATATGCTAAGTGTCATTTCAACCACTAATTACCCCACAATTAGATGATGGACCACAGAACCGGTGTGCTCTGAAGGACCTATACCAAGATTTTAAACTAAATTCCAGAGATCAAGATTTTGCTTTAAGATTCTCACCCAAAATATAACTTTAGCGTGGAATGGGAATTTAAGGGTGTTTAACTAATTAACTGGGGTTATAATTATACAACATGGCAAACTATTTTTCTAAGTTACAACTGTCATGAGTCATATGCTACAACTGTGTCATTTCATATGTAAGAGGTAGACGTAATCATTTTATTATTTTTCTCTTCTTCGGGGTACAGTATATGAGGTTAAGCAACGTATAATTTTCCAAGTTGAAATTTTATATATGGTTTTGTTGATAATCTTTTTTTATAAACACCATTGAAGGGAATGATGCCTCACAGTCATAGGTTCTTGCAAATTGTACCAGGACCTTGAGAGCTCAATTTTTAACTGCAAAATGTCTGTTTGATAATGTAATCCAAAACTTTGTTATGTCATTATAAATGTCAAAATTCACCCATGCCTCATTGTCATCGTGTAAAATCTTACATTTTGAGCGCAAAAGAGCAACACTGTTTTTTGTCTGTATTGAACGGAAACTGAACAAGATCATAAGACTTTGTAAGCAGCTATGGAATCTATCATTGAAATTTGCTGCCATTTTCTGTCTATATCCATGGAAAGTAGAGAGTGAACTGAGCTGAGAACAGTTCAAAGGAAGACTGTGGAACTTCTGTTGGGTAACGTGTCATCAAGGCAAGCCTGACCTGGACTGACCTGACCTGACACAAGGAGAGTACTGTAACTGCAAGACCCAGGTGACGCAAGTGACCCTAACAGCTCTATCCAACCCCATCGACCTCTTGACCAGTATGCAACCCCTTATGATACATAAATTGGGTAGCAACCCCGTGTTTGGGGACCGCTGCTCTAGATCTTTCCAAAGTTTCCGAACCTCATCTGTTCCTCCCAGTTAAAGATGCATTTTTAACCCTTTAGGTGGTTAATTTGTTGTTCGCTTCTGACTGTGTGTCCTTCTTGGTTTTCCCTTAAGATGTTCTCTACAGTTTTACTTATACTGTACAGGGATATTTTCTATGTTGTTTCTCTGTTAAAGGTTCTGCAGTTCTCCTCTACTGTGAAGTCTTTATATTTCTAGAAAACCACCAGTTAAGAGGGTGCTTGGAAATCCTACATATAATACTAAGTTCCAACTCTGTATAAAGTAGGGTGGTGATAGGAAGGGCATCTGGTTGTAACACTTGTTTCATATTTGCCTGATGGTAACTAGGACACCATGCCATCAGGTAATTACCCATGCAGCAGCCGTGGAAAGTGACCATAAAACAGTGATGATAATGTCACCTGTTCATCTCCCTCATCTCCACCATCATGTACACATTTTAATTGTACTTATATTGTTGCAGCTGGTCTCATGTGTGTCTCAGAATCGTTAGTGACATCTTCAGTAACCACGACCGGTGCAGCACGGTTGTCACGGGCAGATGCCTCAGTAACTGCCTCTGTCACAATTGCTGGTGCTGCCACATCAACAGCCTCCCAACCTGCCAGTGCTATCAGTGTGACCGAAGATGCCGCCGCATCATTGATGGGAGGCCGCTTACACCATCCACCTTCGTCCTTCTACCAGCCTAGTCAGATTGATGGAGCTACTGCAGTCTTTACCAGGTTAGTCAGAGACGATACAGTCATCAGTGGTGCTGTGACGTGTACAGTACTGTAGAGGTAGTAGTCATCATATGTAAGCACCCAAAGATGAAGATGAAAATATGTTGTAGAGAATGATACATGCTGATATACTGTAATAGAAAAGTCTATTATGTCAATCTGCAGTGTTGAAGGAGACAGTGGAACAAGTTGTTCTTTCTGTTGTCAAACATGCTGATAAAATGTGAATGTTTAGTATTAAGTTAACAAGCTACAGTAGTACTGTACTAACAGTTGACATGAATTCTTTTACAAGGGGCTTTGGCATTAAGAAAGTAGAAGACAAATGTAAAAATTTAACTTGAGAAAAATTGGGGTCCAGGTACCCTGAAAGTATTACAGCTGCTTTATAATGTAGTTTATGCAGAGTTGAGAAGATTGTACCCCTGTATGGCAAATTTACTTTGCTTTAGAAATTCAATGGCTGTCACTGTAAATATTTTTGTGTCATGGATTGTCCGACTGACCTTTTGGAGTCAAGTTGTGAATCAGTCAGCTGGGCCTGGAGTCACATGGTATTGTAAATCACATGCAGTCGGTACCTGTCTCTATTAATTAATCTGAACAATTGCACAGCTCACAAGATTTTTTTATAAGCTTGTGAGTATGGATTGGGAGAACAAAGAATATATACAGTGTGCTATTTCCCAGTATGATTAGTTCACCCCTCCACAATATATTAATATCTTGTTAATGCTGCTCTTGTCCCTTACAGGCCACTCACCCTAACTGACGTGGAAATAACACTTCAGGAGCAGCAGGCTGACAAGATGGGGGTTGAGGGGCGACGCTCTCAGTTTGCTTCACTCCGGGAAAAACAATCATCTTTCCAGAGTGAACTTTCAGGCCTCTCCTTCCACAGCAAGTATGTAATGTATTTAATGTTCTATACAGTGGTCATACTCTTGATTCTAACATTTGTCTAATTTGTATATTTGTTGTCTTAATATATGAGTTATGGCTGGTTTAAATAAGTTCACTTGGTGGGTAATACTAGTGTCTGTACCTGTTGTTGAGTGCCTGGTATTCCTTGTGAGAAATATTGATATGGAAAACTTACATATAATCTCATGCTCTCTTTCTCAGGAAGTGAAGGAAATAGTTTTGTCATCCCTAGCATGGTTTGTGTATAATTTTGATACAGTAAATAGGCAGTATATATTGTACTGTACTCTTATACTGTAAAGAGTAATACAGTAACTGCCATTGTAAAAGCACTAGTATGAGTTTATCTTCTTCTGTAATAATATTTTGGGCACCTAAAGCTGTTTCTTAGGTACTAGTAAAGTTTGTTGTTCGGTGCATGTTTTTGGTCAGTCTCAACCAAATTAGAAATATTTGCTTGTTTACCGCCATTTACTTACCTCCTCTTCCATGGGTTGTTGGTTCAATCCTGGGTAGTCCCAGTTTACCCAGCTGTAAATGGTAACCTAAGTTTGTAACTTAGGAAAATGCACGCAGTTGGGTACAGTACCGGCCATGCTGCCTCCTTGTGAACCGAAGGCTTAGTATACAGTGCGCTGTGTCCACGCTGTTCTTAACGGGCATTCATACCTATGTGACCCACTTTCACCCCAAGAGTGTTCTAGTAGGATCAGCTACACAGTATTATTACCAGAAATATTTTATCATACGTATATAGACTGGGATGTATTGTGGTGTTTACCTCTTCTAGTACAGTAGTGTTTAGTGTCATCCAAACTTAACATTAGGTGCATGTAGTGAGTACTTCATCACCCCCAAAAAATTCCAGATAGAGCAGCCTGAATCTGGCCAAAGAAGAGAGTCATCAAGTAAAGAAAGGACAACTTCTATATTTTCCCCCCATTGATACTTAATGTAAAGCACTGATTGGCTGTCTGGTATTAAACACAGGTAAAGTACCTTTCTTGAAATAATAACCATAATAATATTAGCAGTCATTTCATAAGGCAGATAAGAATTTTTATTATGACTTTTGGCTACAGTTACAACCAGATGAAAAAGCACACCGTTCAATTGTCCATCAGGTCAAGCATCGATTCGCTGTTGGAATCTCGTCAAGCTGATCCTGTAGAAGTGCTGCTGAGCCTCGGGTTTGGTGGCCATGCGCAGGACGGAATCTCACGTATTCCAGAGAGGTTTCTTAGACCCTCGCAGGTATTGTTCCCGGGGTTTATTCTCTTCATGTTGCCTTATGTTCTTTCAAACACTCGGGGACTGGACGGTATTATGAGAATGGGAAGTTTACATTTCCGGGCTTCTCAAGGGACTTTTATTCATACAACCATTTAAAATCTTCCCATTGAACATACTTATTGTGGTAGACAGCCATGGGTATATTTTTACTAAGTTTCCCTTATTTGTGATGATGATGAATAATGATGAATTTTTTGCAGTTGTCTTCAGTTTAATAGTACTGTATCCTCAGAGACTGTTTCTGTGAGCCAGGGAAGCAAATGATAACTTTTCCTCTTTGTCTCTTTACAATTTATTAGTTAACCACTTGTGTATAGATTCCCCTCTGAACTGAGTATAATTGTCTGCCATTACCCAAATAAAATATCAAAAGTGGCATCCCTATAGTGAAGGGGTTAAATAATTTTTAAACAATTTAAATAATTTTTAATCATGGTACACATCATATTTATGTGTTTATGTCAGGGCAGGATCATCACCCAAGAATGAGGTAGTGGGTCCTTCAGTTGAGGAGGGGTTCACCTACCAACTCAATTTACTAGCACACAACATTAGACACTGTGATGATAGATACAAAAATAAACTGACTTGTAAAATAACTCCGATAATGTTCCAAAGATGATAGAAATGCTCTGGGCTTCCATGAGTACATATGGTGGAATAAAGGTCAGGCTCATGACATCCTTTTGTGTAGTGTAGTGTAATGGGTGGTTGTTTATGCCTTGTGAGCTTCTTAGTCTGTGTTGCTTCATTGATTTATATGACCTAAATAAGGACTGTAGTAACACACCTTGTACGTTACAGGTGCCCGGCAATGATATTGACGAGTTTATGAGGTCAGAAGATGAAATATCAGAAATGATGGAGACAGCAGAGATGATGCCTGGCATAGACCCACAAGGTATGTTTGCTCGTAATTGACACAGTACAGTACAGTACCACAGGATCAACAAAGGAAATTTTTACCATTGTTGGTTTTCTCTTGGTAGTTGATATTTTTAATTAAATTCCTGTACCAAAATAAGAGTTCAGATATGATTCAGCTGTTAGTGAAAGTTTTATTTGGTGCACAATACAGTACAGTATTCCATTTGTTGTAGCAGTAAAGTACAGTATACAGTACAGGTATGTTCAGTGAACCTCTGCAAGGAGAGAATTATTATTATTATTATTTATTTGTTTATTATTATTATCATTTATTTATTTTTTTGGCGGGATGTGAAAAGAAGTTGGACTGGAGATGTGTTTTACACTATTAAATAAGCAGTGAGACAGCAAATCTTCATATTTCTAATAACGGGAACTTTAAATGAAAGACATAGCAGTGAAGGCAGAGTGACAGAGCCTCTTCAGTGTCACAAGGCCTCAAGGCACTTGTACATTTATGCTTTAGCTTGAACGCGGTCTGTCAATATTGTCCGCTTTGCCTCAGCTCAGGTGTCACAAGGTTTTGCTTTTAATTGCAACAGAAAGATATTTATCTGCATTGCTTTATTTTTTCCCTCGCTGCTTCATGGGTTTTTGTTGTTCAGCCTTTAGGTCCAACCCAGACTTAACTCAGGGTCACATTACAACAAATTCGGCATCACACTAGTACAGTATGTCATTCCTTGCTTCCTTATTTTATAGTCTGGGTTGATGCATCTCAGTTGTGTGTTGAGACTCGGTTATATCTGTAGTGTTGTATGATCAGTCAAGACAGTCTTGTGTTATGCTCTAAGCAGCCCAACATTACTGAGAGGATCATCATGCACCATAAGAGGTCATTAACACATCTAGGGGGAATTTGATGGAACTAACAACTTTTGGTAACTTTGTGAAGCTGAACGTTTATTTATACTATGTACCGCATATTATTATTAGCCTATAGGATTACTCTTGTCTGTCGTGTCATCCATACATTCCTTCATTTGTCTGTACATCTGAGCAAAGTCATGTTCATTTACTAACTTGAGAAAGGATTTACAATTGGAAAATAAATTGGTACAGTAGACAGCTCCATAAGATTAAAATTAAGTCCAGGAGTTTTGGCTCTTGTTCAACTCCAGAAATTTTGAAGGTGGTAGACATAACCACAAGTGAGAGTCTCTTTTATGAGGCTTTAGGGGTTAGTTTACTTTATTAATGCTGTTGACTGTATCTTGTGATGAGGAACTATATTGGTGTTCTACATATACCATACAGTAAATATAGTTACTATTTACAGTAGTTTGGGTGCATGCTCTCAAAGTAGATTTTTTTCCTGGGTATTTTATAGCACACCAAATATTAGTTAAGTGAACACAAAGTTTACTTCTTGATTACTTCATATGTAAGTTGTCCTTCAGTTTACCAACAGTCATCAATTATAGTGTTGTGTGTTGTTCAGTAGTGAGTTGATGGTGTAGTGTAGTGTGGAGGTGAGAGTATGCAGGGGGGACACTCTTACAGGACTGACCATGATGAGAGGCGGGCTGTCTCCTAGAGGCCGCCGCCGCTATCGTCGTCGTTACTACCTGAGGCCTCAGTCGCCACAGCCGTCAATTCGCTCGGCTCCGCCATCTCTCCAACACTACAGCAAGTCACGCTTCCTCACAGTCCAAAGAGATGGACACGCTCAAGCTCCATCACAGTCCTTCCTCTATGATTACTTCTAAACAATACATCATCACTTCACCTTATGAAACAGTTGCTAGAAACTTGTACATATCCTCATACAAATACAACCTTAAGAATGATTCATTCTCTGCATGTTAAATTCATTGCAGATAAAGCAACATTTAAATTTATAAATACATATCATCCTAGTGAAATTTGCTTACTTAAAAACATTCTGGAAAGGGCTTTTGTACAGTATTGGCTTTTCCTTTGTTACAAGAGACTACTACAACTCAATTTGTATATTAAGATTTATTATTGGGAATCTTTTGCAGAAGTTATTTTAGAAAATTTGCTCAGTATTATCAGTACTACTCTATGCATTGGGGCCCATTATTTTGCATAGAGTAAGAAATGGTGCTGGCTAGAGTAGAAGCATTTAGAAGTTAGCTAATAGGATTGTTAGTATTACAGTGCAGTACTTGATATTATTAGGCACCTGCTGACAGGGTTACAAGAGTCCCAGTGTAGTATACAGAACAGTGTCAGGGTAATGGTCAGGATGTTTACAAAACCTTTTGAGGTTTGTGTGTACAGCCTCCCACAAGGAATTTACACATCCAAAAGACTATAAGGTTACTCCATCACAGTCTTCACCTTGTATTCCGTGACATTATGCCTGCAGGGAGATGGCACACACACACACACCATTGGTTTAGATTAATAATTAAAGGACCCTGTCAACACACACATCAAGGGACTTTGTGTGAACTTCCTGTACTGTATGGGTAGTGTGCAGTGTGGGCAGGGACCGCAGTATTAATGTCGAGTTGATATTGTCTTTGGTACCTGCAGAGGACGATCACAGATGATTTATGACACATGGCTCTCATTTTGTGCTTCTTAGTAACACCCATAGTACGATAATGATACCAGTTAAGGTGGTCAAGATTGTGGTGCTTTAGGACTCGGATGTTTGGATAAGATTGTAAAAGTAATTAATTCTGACTGTATGACTTAGGAACCCAAGATAAACAAGTGAGGGATCATGGTTGTAGAAATAGCTGAGGTAGTGAAGAGGTTCTACTAGATTAGCTTATTGTTTGACAGATCAGAAAGCTATTTGATACTTGAATATTAATAGAATTTAAGCCAATAATGATACATTCCTATAATTCAGTAAAGTATATATTCCGATATTCATCATAAACAGTTATGAATTATGAGGTAAGGGACCAAAAAATGCGGAAAAATAGACATCAATAAGGAAGGCGCTAATTATAGATAAATAAACCCAGTTAAGAGCCCGTACGGTGAAACTTGCCTTTTGCTTTTAAAATCTTAGCTGCCTATTTTTCTCCAGCTATTTAACGGTGTCTATTTTTTTTTTTTTTTTGTCGCTGAAAGGTACACACACACAGCCTGTTACATTATTAATCAAGCATGTTTGTTCCTTCACACACCCTAAACTCTCTGTCATTAACCTCCCTTAGCCCCCTGTCTTTAAATCTTAAACCCCTTAACTCCCCCTGTCTTTAAAACCCCTGTCCCTCCCCTTAACCCCATCTTTAAAATCCTCTTTACTCCCCCATCTTTAACCTCCCCTTAAACACCCTTAACTACCTATCTTTGACCTTCCCTTATACCCCCTTAACTCCCCCATCTTTAACCTTCCCTTGAACCCCACCTTAATCCCTCATATCTTTAACCTCCCCTTAACCTTCCCTGTGTTTAACCTCCCACTCTAAAACTGTTCAACAAGACTGTCTAATCATTATCTCAGCTTCCTCGTGTAAATACCAATAAGTTCGACCGGCTCTCTCTACGTGCCTTACTTCTGCACTTGTCGTGAATCTCCGTAGCCTATACCATCGACTCCTGTGTGTGATCGCTCTATCTTCCATTGCCTCCGTGCTTAAGACTATAGCGTGTACGACATCTAGTGGCAGGATACCTAACCGACCGGTACGGGATCCCATCATTTTGGGTTGGGTTAGGTTAGGTTAGGTTGGTTAAAGTTTGTATAGAGTTTAGGTATGGGTAGACTCGATTGAGTGTGTTCAGGTTACATTTTCTGCTACCAAGTTGAAAAAAAGAATTAACAATGCTCCTCTAAATACTCATTAATATTAAAGAAAATAAGTGTGTGTGTGTGTGTGTGTGTGTAAAGGATGGCAGGTTGTTGTGAATACGCAAACCTTAGAATCGCGAGAATTTAAGAGAATCGTATGTGAGATAATGTTATGATTGCTGTACACGCTCACACACACACACACACACACACACACTCTCTCTCTCTCTCTCTCTCTCTCTCTCATATATTTAGTACATAAACTCTCCACAAATTAATTTCTTCACACTTTGTCTGTTTCCTGAGGTCTTCTTCCCTCCCATGAGTACTGTTGTTGAGACCTCCCATAATTTTTGTTCTCAACACCAGCAGCTATAATGATATCACATACATGAGAGCCAGACAAACACAGAGTCCCCCGAGGATTGTCTCCAGCCTTGCCTTTGGTTCTTCACGTCTGGATCATAAATCAAAATACTCGGGGTGGGGTTAATTGTGTGCTGCCTCGTTTTCTATGTCAATAAAGACAGAAACTTAATAGACAAGCGATGACGTGTGTTAATTTCCCTTATTCTTATTAAACCATTGATGGAGACTGTTTCCCCGTAGTGCAGTGTTCCCGTAGCAGAATATTACATGTACTGTATATTTTAATGTACCTTCTGGAGTTTAGTAAAAATATTTCTGTGCTTTAGACGTGAAATTGCTTGCTTAATTTTCATCTTCGTTGTGCATGCTGTTCCCACACTCATGGCAAGGTAGTGAGCTCAGACCCTCCCCTCTTCCCCCTCAGAACCTTCCCCCTTCAGAACCTTCCCCCTTCCCCTTCAAAACCTTCCCCCTTCCCCTTCAGAACCTTCCCCCTTCAGAACCTTCCCCCTTCCCCCTTCCCCCTCAGAACCTTCCCCCTTCCTTCCCCTCATAGTTGCAGCTCCTGACCTTTCCTACACTATATCTACAAGTACCAGAGACATAACAGCAATTCTTAAAGAGCTCTCCTTGATGTTGTTTATGTCTCAAAATGGAGAAAAAATCCTCATTATGCTGTGTCAGGAAAACTAAGGATTTGTGAATGAACGAGGAGTGAGGGGATGAAGAAGCATAAGGAATTATAAGTGAAAAAAAAATCAGAAAAGGAGAGAGTTGGACAGAAATATCAGAGTGTGTGTGAAAGTTAGTGTGACAGTGAAGGAGTGAGTGAGTCATCAGTTGGTGAGTTATTGTGATTCTTTTATTAACAGTTTAATCTCTGA